GCTAAGTCACTACTAAGCCCTTAAATTAAGTTTTCAAGATAAATTTGTAATAATAAAAAATGTCGAATTAAATGGATTTAATTCTTATTAAAAGGTTGAACTTATCATCTAATCATTGATTAGGGGCTTCAAATGAGTAAGTTTTCATCATTCTAGCTCAAGCCCACTACCTTAGGATCATCCAATTAGATCAACTTCCAAGTTACAATAATTTAGGAAATTTACAATTTTACCATTATCATACGAAAAGTGATGAGTTAGTTTCAATCTCTTAAAACATTATGTTCGAATCACCTAAGAGAGTTCATCATGATAAATTTTAGCCATTTACCCTGACTTATCCTAAATTTTAATTAGGGCTTCAAAATTCCAAAATTACCATTTTGCCCTTAAGGCTTTCTACTTCATAATTCTCTAAATTTAACTCAAATGATTTTGAAACTTTCTTGGTATCCACTCATGAGTTAATTAACATACCTAAGGAGAAATTATTTTTTGATTTTTATTTGATTTTTTAGAATTATTTTAGCTCAAAAATAGGGATTTTTAATGAGTTGACCAAAACAAATCCTGTATACTTAAGAAAATTATTGGAGGTTTACCTATATCAGAGGACCTATATAAACAATCTTCATAATTTTATGAGTTTTATTTTAATTATTATAATTATTTGCTAATTTTGATTGTTAATTAAATAGAAAATATAATTTAATCTTAAAATTTATCTTTTATATTTTTCTTTAGTTCCTCTCAGAAACACATTTTTAATTTTTGTGATTTTTACTTTATTTGTTGTAATTATTTTTGTACAAAATCAAGGAAAATACATTTTAGGCATTTAAAAGTATATAACTATATTAAGAAATTTAGAAAAAAATATTTTAAGTTATCCCAAGTGATCAATGAATAATTTGTAACATTTTGGTATATTTTTTATTTTTGTGATTTTTATTTATTTTTAATTATTTTTAAATTGATAAATAAGCTAAAAATGAACTTTTTATTTTAACATTAATTTTAATTTTTCTTGGGTCCCCCTGGTCACAATGAACACTCCAAACTAATTTTAATAATTTTATGATTTTTTTTAATTGATATAATTATTTTAGTGCAAAATTCCTATTCTTTTGAAAAAAACACTTTGGTATCAAAAACATTTTTTATGACTTCCAAATTTTTACAGAGACCTTAGGATGTTATTATCTTCAATGTGGATCGTTTTGTTGTTTTATTGAAATATTTGGTATTTTCTTAATTTTTTAGAATATTTTATTAACTTAAAATAGGAAATTATATTTTACACTTTAAATGTGGATTTTATTTTTCCTAGATCCTTTAACCATTGTGAACCTACCAAACCAAACTTTGTGTTTTTATGATTTATATTTTAATTTTTAAATATTATTTAATTAAAATAAGGTACCTAACATGGAAAATTAGGTCTTTTAGGGTTATAGGTGCTCTCTAGCTCTAAAAAATTAGAGAAAACTTCTAACCACCTAGAGAACAAGCCCGCCCAATTTCATGTTATGGTGACTCATATTTAGTTAAATACAATTAAAAGAAGTTTTGGAGTCTTTAATTAATTAAAAATAAAATAAATATCAAACAAATTAGACTTTTTGTTCATAATATTCTCCTCTATTCACCGAGCACGGGGGTATTTTTCTGTTATCTTTATGATTTTTCTACCCAAGTTATGTATTTTCAAAGTTTCTAAAATTAATTAAATAAAAAATACCCTGATTTTTCTACTTATCCACGCGACGCCTACTCATCCTTGGCCCGTCAAACGCATGCGTGTCATCACGCTAGTGGACGCCGCCTTCTAAGACAGCTGCCATGCGTCCCGCCTTTACCACTTCATGTCCTCGTCCGGCTCCATCTCTGCCGTTTGATTGATACACACTAGAGTGGACGACATCCGTTCATCACCCCCATCAGACTCAAACCAAGAACCGTCCAACTTCTAACCCTAATTTCTCACTCGATACTCAACCAAATTGCATGGGGTTTGTTCATATAGCTTCATCTTGGTGAGACGAACACATCCATATGGTTTAAAACATATGAAATATACATTCTCTTCACAATTGATGAAAATGAGCACAAATTTATGGATTTTGTTCTATGCCATTACCCAAGAAATGTAGCAACGATTGGATTTGTTCCTGATCTTTGCCTTGAGTCCATGAACGTCCTCTAAGTGCTACTTTGTGTTGAAATCAGGGCCAAGTATGATTTCGACAAAATCATGATTTAGTTTGGTCTAAGAGTGGGTTAGAGTGCTTGAGAGAGAAGGGTTTTGATTGGGGAAGTGTTCTTAAGCTCTGATGAAGCTTAAGAGAACCTCCACTTGAAGTTTTGGTGGTCCTGGTTTTCAATGGTGAAATTAAGCTCGAATAATGGCAATTGATGGTGGGATTGTACTTAGGAAGGTTGTGAGAAGTTATGGGAACAAATTCACAGAGTTTCCTCAAGGATTTGGAACATCTCTCCTTTCTTCCATGAGAGGGGTGGATTAAATAGAGGAGGAAGGAGGGCTCACATTGCCAAACCAGTGGGTGAAAAGTAGGCGGAAGGGTGAACGACTCAACATTCCAATTGTGATTAGCCACATTAGATGAGTGTAATTTATGGTTCAAGCCATGGTGGCTCCCCTCGAGTTTAGGTTTTCCGATAAGTAGGGTGGTCGGCTGGCTTAGGAAAGTTGGAGGAAGGTTTAAGTGTGATTAAGATGGAGGCATAGTAGTGTGTTGACAAGCTTGGGTTCCTTAGCCAAATTAAGGAAGAGGCTCCCAAATTTGAGGGACCCTTGGTTCATGGCACCAATTTAGGGTTTTAAGTGATGTGATTAGCATCATAGGAGGCTAGCTAAGGCAAGAAAAGAATAAGCATGGGTTAATTCCAATGGCTTGGGACATAACGGATTTTAGTCTCAAAATTGGGGTTTGGGCAAAAATTTGGATTTGGGCTTGGCTTGGGCTTGGATCCAAATCAATTGAAGGCTAAATTTGGTCTAGGAGAATGTCATTAAGCATTTGGAAAACAAATTTCATGAAATTAGATTAATGGCAAGGTTCAATTTGATGGAATTTTGATTTAGGTTCAATGTGAGGCATTTGACTTGGGCCTAAGATTTGGGTTTGGAATTGGGTTCAATTGGGTTGGAATTTTATTTCAATTGGGATTAGAATGATAAATTTTGATTTGAATTTGAAATTGGAGAGGTTTAAAATGAACTTGGTGAGAATTAGGAGTGATTTGGGGATTTTAGGCATTTAGGGGCTATTTGGAAATTTTGGCCAATTTTGATGGATTTAGGTGCAATTAGGGCCATTGGGTGGTTAGGATTGTTTTGGGTGCGGTTTGGAATGATTTTGGAAATTTTGGCAAGTTTTGCGACAGGGGGGTTGGATTTTGGTAATTTTGGGGAATTTAGAGGCATTTTTGAACTTTTGAAGAAATTGCAGTATTTTGAGCAATTTGAATGGTTTGGAATGGTTCGATATATTTTTTGGGCGAGAATTGGTAATTTGAGAAATTTTGGGGAAATTAGGGTTTTAGGGGCTTCTTGGTAATTTTATGGAATTTAGGGGTAAGAAGGCAAAATTTGATGTTTAGGTCGAATTGGAGCTTATTGGAATTGCTAATCATAAGGACACCCCTTTGAGGCCATGAGACCAAGGGGAAGCCCATTTTGGATCCTCCATGTGTTGGCCCTAGTCACCCTGCCAAAAGCTAAGAGCTTGGGAACCACCCTCATGAGTTTCCAAAAGAGTGGGGAAATGTCAAATGGGACTAAATTTAAGGTTTTGGGAATGTGTGTGAGGGGTTCAAATGTTTGTGTGTGTGTAGGTGTAACCAATACCAAAACCAAGCCACCCAAGGCTAGCGCTAAGGCCTGACAATCCTATAGGGACTCCTCTTGAGCTCCCTCATGCTGGTTCAATCCTACTAAATGGTATAGGGCAAAAGCATGCATGTGGAACTCCAAGAAGGGCAAAAAGATGTTTAGAATTTCTACTGGGTAGGGTTCCATCACTAGTCCTTTAGGATAATCAACAGAAAAGTCATATGACTAGATCTTAGGCTTCTAAAGAAGAAAGATTAGACCTTAACAAAAGTGAGGTCAACATATGTTGATTGAAGACTATATCTGCGTTCCAATTTGAATGAGATATGGCGACTATTAACTGTCGACATATTCGAGTTTGGTCGTCCGAGGTGACTGGTTGGGTGGTGATCGCTGTTGTAGAGATAAAGCCAGTTGGTTGACTAATTGTGGCCGGACATCTTTGTAAGAAGTGTATGTAGTTGGATCGCAGGGGTGGTCTGCCGATTTGATCTGCCAATATCGCATGCGGTCGGCATGAAAGAGCGGTCGGTCGTCGGATGGGTGACTTGGGTCATGCTCTTTAAGCCTAACGGTTCGGTTGCCCACCATCATTGACCATTTGATTATTTTGAGATTTTTACTGATAGTTTTGATGCATACTTATAATGCATACATGTCATCTTTTCTATGCAAAAAAAAAAGTAATGATTCAAATTTTTAATACTAGAAAAGTGTTATTTTTGATGTGACATTGATGAGTTGGGTTGTACAAATATAAAAATCAAATTTTAAAGCGATAGATATGTAAATTCTTAAGAACTAGGTAGCATGTATCTAAAATCCCTTTTAATTTGCTATTTAAAAACAAAAAAACTCATTAAAATCCACCCTTAAATCCAAGCAACAAATTCTGATAATCTGAAATTAGTTACGAATTTAAAATAATTGTTGAAGATCCCAATGAATCCGTGGATAAACTCGCATGCCAAGCACCCTCCCCAACCTGCCTTCGTTGAATCCACACTCGAGACCAATGAAAACGGCACATCAATGGAGTATAGAGCAATCATTTTCATTTCCACGTTGTGTGAATTATCTTACCATTTCTTTAGGCTGTTAGGTGGGTCTGGTCACCTCCCACTCCACTGTCACCATTCCCCAAGTCCGTGGGCGGCCAGGAACCAGTTCAAGCCAAGCTATAAGAGGAGAAATAAATCTGCCAGCACCACTCAACTCTCCCCTCCAACCTCTGTATCTTGTTGGTCTGAGATGAAGAGTATAATGGCGCAGACGCCCCACGACTCATCCTTCTCCTTCTCCCGCCGCCACTTCCACTGGATTATAGCCAGAGTGGAAGGCACCGTCGGCTCCAAGAGCAGCCCCAACAGCACAGAGGACGAGGAGATCCTCGGCCCCGCGTTCACCGCCTCCGACGCTTGCACAGAACTCCCACCCCGCCCGTCCACCGCCTCCGACGCTTGCACAGATCTCCCACCCCGACCCCGATCCGCAGTGGCTCGAATCCGCTCGGTGCTGACTGCCGCGTTCTCCGGTCGACCCGCTCGCTCTGCCGTGCTGGGCGCCCGCCTCTTGGGCACCCTCTACGGCCCACGGCGTGGCAAGGTCCGCTTCGCCTTCCAGAAGAATCCTCACGACTCCCCGGCGCTTATTTTCGAGCTGGAGATTCCCACCGGGTCTCTTGTAAAGGAGATGGCTTCCGGCGTAGTGCGCGTCGCTCTAGAGTGCGAGCGCAGGGATGGGAAGGTGAGGCTGGTGGAGGAGCGACAGTGGCGAGCATATTGCAATGGGAGGAAGTGCGGGTCGGCGGTGCGTGCCAATTGTGGTGCCGGGGACTGGCGCGTGGTGCGTGCGGTTGAGCCGGTGACCATGGGAGCCGGAGTGCTGCCAGCGGAGGCGGAGGAGGAGGAGGGGGAGGGGGAGGTGATGTATATGAGGGCGAGGTTTGAGAGGGTGGTGGGATCTAAGGACTCGGAGGCTTTTTATATGATTAATGCGAAGGGGAACGGTGGAGGGTCCGAACTCAGCATCTATTTTCTTAGAGTTTAATATGGAGAAAATTGGGTATTTTAATTTGGGTGATTAGTGGTAATAAGTGTTGGGTTCGGCTCTTAATTATTCTATCTTTTCTCTGAAACTTGTTTTTATGTTGTGAAACGGAAAATTTTGGTTCGTGGATGTTTGTGTAGTTATTCGATTTCGGCCATTCAACTCAGATTGAATTCATCATGATTTAGTTTAATGAATGGGATCGGATAATTAGAAATCTAACAATCTACTCAAAATGTTTGCGATCCCAACCCATACGACTCATTTGTAGCAAATATATGTGTTATTAATAGTTTCATGGGTTTGGTAATTATTGTGTAACGCCTCTTCTTCAATTTTTAGCCCAAAATATGACTAAGGGAATAATTAGGTTCTACTAGAAGATACAAAAAAAAAAAAAGAAAAAGCAACAAAGCATTAATGTGGGCTTGAAAAAATAAGCTGTGAAGACATTAAGAAAATGCTGTTTATTAATGATCTATATGCTTCTTACGGAAATAATCTGTATTTTTCATGTGCTTTAATGATATATGGTAACAGAGGTATACATATGAAAATTTTATATCGAGTGAGTAGATGGTAATGTGATTCTATTTAGTTTTAATTCAATTATATCATTCATTTTTGCATTTTAAAGAAAAAAGTGAATAGCTAACAAGATTATTTAGTGAATTAATTCGATTTCAAGGGTAAATATGAGCATGCTTAATCTAGAAAATTAAACTGTGTTTAAATTTTTCCTTAAAAATTGTTAGATTTGAATAAGTAGCCTTAATATGGTTTGAATTTCAAGAAAAGTTAGTAAAAAACTAAGCCTATGATGCTCATTGGCTCATAGCATACTTAAAATTCAATTAGATCAGTAAATTATCCTCTTATTTGTTTTTCTTCTGATTAGAACTTGTTTTACAATCTAATGTTTCTAATTATCTCTCCCGCATATGAGTCGATGAGAGTTATTCAACTTTGATAACAATTTCTTCAGCTAAAAATGTTTTTGACCCTATCAGTTCTCCTGCATCACTATTCCTCTAATAAAGTATAGGACTAATCTATTCTTAATATTTTTCTCTACGGTATCAATGGTAGATACGATTAAGAGTCAAAACTAAACTAACAATTAAGCTGGATTAACTCTGTGATTTTGATAACACTTTCTTAAGGCTCGTACATCGAAATTCTAAATTACGATCATTACACTAATGAATGAAGATCCATGAACATAAAAGCTTAGGCCAACAAGTACTGATTATTAATATTATGCTAGGAACTCAGCTCATACTTTACTTCTACTTATCTATTAATTTTCACTCTTATTTGTTTGTACCATGCAAAAAAAAAAATATCCTTCCCGATCATAAAAATTTATATAAAAAATTCGTATTTTTGAATTGAGTTCTGATAGCAGCCACAAATCACATGAAATAGTTGATCAAATATGTTATAATAATAATAATATACAAAAAATGTTTCTTCATTGATCAAGAGATCTAATAGCCCAAAGAAAATAATACAAAAAAGTAGCCCACTGACAGAAGATCGTGATGCCTACTTATCCGATCAAGTGAAGCTATCCTAGTGAAACCAAGAAGGCTAAAGAGGACTAAACCATGCGACAGACCAAAGACGACTTAGGGATGAAAGGATGAGCTACTCAGCCAAAAATAAGATTGAAGAGTGCCTGAGCTAACAACCATAAGAGTGCCAACCCAAGGCAAAATCTAGTTCCTTAACATCTCCAACCATCCAATGGATGCCCAGAGACTCCCCAGCAGAGGTTAAGGATCAATGGGAGGGTCATATCTATTGATCGATTCATACCGACCAAGCTCAATGGACTGAGCTGATTAATACACCAAAATAATATATTATTTTAAGTATATATTTTATGCTTATTTTTGTGATATTGCACTTTAAAGAAGAGTATTTTCCTGTTTTTGTTGCAGGTATATCAATTTTAGACATTTGAAGCAAAATTAGCAAAAATGTTAAAATTTGGAGCCAAAACAATGAAGTTTTGAATTCTAGCGCATGATGCGCCGAAGTGGCGCCAGATGCGCCAGATCGGCGTCAGAAGCGCCAAAACCTATAGCAGCGTGGTCTTCAACAAACTGGCGCATGATGCTCCAGATTGGCGCCAGATGCGCCATTTGACAGAGAGTTGGCGCATGATGCGCCAGATGCGCCAAAGATGACTATTTGCATATTAAGGCGGCTCGAGACAAATTTTGTGCAAATTTTCAAAGGGACACTTGTTCTAAACACCCCTTGGAGTAAGTCAATACATGTAGACACATTGAAAGGTTCTTTTATGAAGGGATATGTCTCTTAGATCAATAGACATGTCCTTTGAATTCACAAGAGTTGACTTTTTGATAGAATTTTGGAAGGAATTTTGAATTTTTTTAGAGGGAGGTGGCCTTTAATAGAAGAGAGAAAAGTCTAGGGCTTGAAGAAGAGAAGAGGACAGGAGTTTTGGCGTGAGTGTGTAGAGTGAAGGAGAATTAGAGAAAGAGAGAGAGAGTTAAAGGCTTGGAAATTTTCTTCAAGGATTGTAAGACGAGAGGGAAAGTGAGATTTCTTCTTCATTACACTTCTAAGAGAGAATTGAGAGTGCTTGTAAAGAAGAAAGACTTGGAGAGAATTTCTAGGAGTTTGCTTTGGAAGAATTGTGAGATAAGTTGTGTCTTTTATTTATATTGTTATGTAAATTTGTTTTTATATATGAAATCCGTGTTTTGTCGTATCCTTCTCATGAATTCAGAGTAGTCTTCTTTATCCTTCTCCCTACTTTAAGATATAGTTTTGTAAAGAATTTATTTTATTTTATATGGTTTTAAATGTCAATAATTTGTGATGATTTGAACTCCGATTTTCATTTACTTTTCGATCTGGCCAATTGAAATGTTAAAATGTGTTGAGAAACATATGTTCTAAAAGGGCTATGATTTCTACAACATAGGGAGAATCACATTTGATTTCAAGGGAGAGTATTTCATCCATGGAATTGGGTGCAAATAAATAGGAAAATATACTTTTTTTATGCAGAATTGGAGATTTTAAGGTAACAGATTAAAATCCCCAATTTGGTTCAGTTGATTGAAAAATGATGCGAGATTGTTAGCCCTCAGGGGAGGGAGTAATGAGAGCTCTGGAGTGGCAATCAGTATCCTCCTAGCATAACCACGAAATGACGGACCAAACTCTGGATTAGTCAATGTTTTTTATGAGCTCGGAAGATGGTAAAGAACAGGATTGCTCCTATTCGACACAAAAACAGTTTTTATATCTATTTTCAAATGATTTTAATTTCTTCACAAACTATATACTCATTGTACAAGAAAATGATTCTTTCTTAATTTGAAATTTTCGTCACAACATTATAGTCTTAATTTTTTGTAATTTTACTTTTAAAAGATTAGCATTTAGTTTAGTTAACTTTGTATTTCAACTGCATTTTAATTTGCCTTGACTTGTTACTTAATGTTAAAACTTCACACCTTACTTTTTGCATTTTTAAAATATTACTTTGCATTATAATCTTAGGAACTTATTTACAGGCATTTCCAACTTTTCTGTGGTATCGATGTCTAGGCTTCCATTAGAGCCATTTATTACTTGAGTAATACGTATACTTGCATTATTTTTAAAAGGGAATTATGGCAGTTTAAAGATTATTAAAAGATAAAATTATTTTTATTGAAGTTATTTGTTAGGATTAATTTGCATATTCACTGTTGTATCTGCTGTGTGTATTTTGTAATAATGAAAAATATTTGTAAAATTAACACACTAAATCAACTCTGCATCAAGTTTATTTGCGTCGTTGTCGGGGAAGTAACAGAAAGTAGTAATAAGTTATTTTATAATTTATAGTATTCTTATTTTAAAAACTAAAATAAAAGAACTAAAAAAAAAGTGTGTTTGTAGTTTTTTTGAATATTTTCTTGTTTAACTGTGTTTTCTTATTTTTAAATTACTTGTTGTATATGTTTATGTGTAGTCTAAGATCCAAAAATTTAGTACCTTATGATTCTGAGTTAAAAAAAAAACAATTAGAAAATTTTAAAAACAACAAAAGGAGATAGACCATATTAGTAAAATGGCTTGCAGTATGAATAATGTTGGAAATGAAAATGAACATCATCAGAGACCTTTAAGCCTTTAAGGAGACCTTTAAGAGATTATGCTAATCCTACAACATATGAGATTCATTTAAATATACAAAACCCTATTGTAGCTGCCAATTCATTTGAGATTAAATCTATAATTATCCAAATAGTTCAAAACAATCAGTTTGGGGGAACACTAATTGAAGATCCTAATTTACACCTTATTAGTTATCTGGAATTGTGTGCTACATTTAAATTTGATGGAGTGTCGAATGATGTTGTATGACTTAGACTTTTTCCTTTTTCTCTAAGGGATAAAACTAAGATGTGGTTAAACTCGTTAGCACCTGGATTTATCAGAACTTGCAAAGATTTATCACAAAAATTTTTATCTAAATATTTCTCACCTTAAAAAACTGTAAAGCTTAGAAATTATATTACATCTTTTTATCAGATTGGAAGGGAATCAATTTATGAAGCCTGAAAAAGATTTAAAGATCTCTTTAGACTGTGTCAACACCATGCATTTCCAAATTGGTTAATCATTCAAACTTTTTGTAATGCATTTGTTGGATCTCTTAGATTGATAATTGACGATGTTGCTGGTGGATCATTAATGTAAAACCATTCGATGAAGCATATTCTTTAAGGGAAGAGATGACTACTAATAATTTTCAATGGCCCTCTGAAAGGGTAAATTCAAAAAGAGCAGCTAATATTCATGATTTTGATACAATATCTATGTTAGCTACATAAATAACTGTTATATTGAAGAAGATAGATTAATATGAAATGAATTATTCTCAGACATCACTTGTGCTTGAGGAAAATTCATTGGGACAAATGATAGAATCACAATCATCTTATGAGACCTTAAATGCAATAAATAATCATTCTAATAATCCTTATGCCAATTATTATAATTTCGGTTGGAAGAATCATTCAAATTTTAATGGTAGTAATAATAATTATAATGCTACAAATTTGTAATGGGAAAACAACACTACGAACCCATTGGGAAACTCCAGCAATCAAGGAAATCTAACTTATAAACCTTATTACCCTCCAAGATTTAATAATTTGTAGAGTAAGGAGAAAAAAATGTCAATAGAAGAATTGATATTGAAAATGGGGAGTCAATTACAAAGTCAAGGAGCTGCAATTAGAAACATGGAAAATCAATTGGGATGTA